AGGAGGAGGAGGAGGAGGAGGAGGAGGAGGAGGAGGAGGAAGGGGCGGAGGAGGAGGAGCAAGAGAAGGAACATTAGGAGGAGGCGGAAGATGATGAGGAGGAGGAGGAGGAGGAGGAGGAGGAGGAGTACGTAGGCGTAGTAGGATTCGGAGTATGAGGAGGAGGAGGAGGAGGAGGTGGAGGAGGAGTTGGAGGATGATGAGGGGGAGGCCTTTGACCGTTGCCGTGGCCTTGGCTCCCCCGTAGCTCACCGAGTCTGCCCGGCCAGCAGTCCCTGCGCGCGCTGGGCGGCCTGAAAAGCTGAGGAGGAGGCGGAGGAGGAGGAGGAGGCGGAAGCTGAGGGTGATGATGATGATGCCGAGCATGATGATGATGATGACGATGATGCTGATGATGATGATGATGATGATGATGCTGATGATGATGATGCTGATGATGGTGGTGATGATGATGATGATGATGATGATGATGGTGCTGATTCTGATGAGGATGCTGATTATGATGACGAGGATGATGCTGATGCTGATGATGCTGATGCTGATGCTGATGCTGATGCTGATGCTGACCGATGTGATGATGACCCTGAGGGTGATGATGGTGATGCCAATGCTGCTGCTGATCAGATGATGATGCTGACGATGCTGATTTGGATGATGTGGATGGTGACGCTGCTGATGATGATGACGATGACGACGATGATTGTGATACTGCTGCTGATACTGATGAATTTGATGATGCTGATGATGATGATGCTGATGCATATGAGGAGGAGGAGGAGGAGGAGGAGGAGGAGGAGGAGGAGGAGGATGCTGATGAGGATGAGGATGCTGATGCTGATGATGATGCTGGTGCTGCTGATGATGCTGATGATGACGATTCGGATGACGATGGTGATGCTGATGATGATGCTGCAGGTAGATAATGGTGCTTATGACGATGCTAATGATGCTGATGCTGATGATGAGGATGATGGTGCGGATGATGATGCTGATGCTGATGCTGATACGGATGATCATGATGATGATGAGGACGAGGAGGATGAGGACGAGGATGCGGATGATGATGATGATGATGATGATGTTGCTGATGCTGATGACGATGATACTGATATGATGCTGATGATGTCGATGACGATGACGATGGCGATGACGATGACGATGGTGATGCTGCGGATGATGATGATGCTGATAGCGATGATTATATTGATGATTTTGATGCTGACGATGATGACAATTGTGATGCTGATGATGCTGATGACGATGCTAATGCTGATGAACATGATGGCGATGATGATGATGATGATGATGATGATGATGATGATGATGATGATGATGATGATGATGATGATGATGATGATGATGATGATCATGATGAGCATGATGGTGATGTTGATGGCTGATGAGCATGATGGCGATGTTGATTTCTTGCGGCCGCGCCCGCACTGTACCCTCGGTGAGGGCAAGGGGCGTCAGGACATTGGCCCCTTCGCGATGTCCCTCGGCGAGGGCTTGCGGGAGGAGGTGGAGCTTTTCATCGTGGTAGATTACTGTTGTGGAGAGGAGGGGGATGCGCGAGTCGACCGTTGCGAGCGCGTTGACCGCCAGAGCAGGTCTCAGGCGCGCCGTCAGTGGCCCGCTGGGGTTCGCGCTACACCCGAGAAGATGTATCGAACAGCGCTGAGGTCCCGTGGCTGAGGAGGTTCGGGGTTCACCGCGCAAGCCATGGGCAGCAGCCCAAGAATCGCCGCGTTTACCTTCTATGTTGGTCATGTTCTTCAGCGCACTCGCTCTTGGAATGCCTGCAGATTAGCGTTGCAGCTGATCACCGCATCGTAGGCTCTGGAGCTTACCCTCGGTAATGGCCCTTGTACAATGGGTGGGTAGAGCCGTCCATACGGTAGAAGGAAACAATTTCGTGGATACTCCCCCGCCCCCCCCAAGCTCAAAGTTGGCACGCGCGGGGAAGATTGCGGTCTAAGTGCAGCTCACCCAACCCACCGCCAACATTGATCATCGGGGGGGGGGGGGGCATTGACAGATGACTGCGGCAAGAGTGCTCGCTGCTCTCTTCCTGGGCCCGTAGGAAGGCGGGGAGTCGTGCGAGTCGGGGGGCGGGGGACGCGGCGGACGCTGCTCGCCGCGCCCGGGCGCGGCGCAGCCCGCCGGCCGCGACAGCCTCTGCGCCGCAGAAGTGCTGCAGCGGAGCGCGCGGGCCGGCCGCTGGGGGCGCAGGACCTTCCAGGATCTTGCAGGACTAAAACGACGCG